TAAGCTTGGTGAGATCAACAGAAAAAGAAGGACTGCCATGAAGACTCACCGAATCTCATTTTGCTGGACTTGAAACTCCTTCTGTAGGTGGATCAGGATTTTTGATCCTTATTTGAAAAGGATGCTATTAATGCTATTACAAATTTCACTGTGAGCTCTCATTAAAACATGGAAAATATTAAATCTGAGCATACAACTATGATAGCTTGCTAACTATTTTAGGGTCTCTTGCTCAGTTAGTCTTCTTCCGTCTCCCAGGAGACTGGTTTGCATTGCTTTTTTTGGTTACTTGAAGTGGCTGCCCCTTGCCTTTCTCTTAGGACAGTGTTTCTCAACCTGGGGGTCGGGACTCCTGAGGGGGTCATGAGGGGGTGTCAGAGGGGTCACCAAAGACACAGTATTTTCTGTTGGTCATTAGGGTTCTGTGTTTAGCCCAATTCTATTGTTGATGGGGTTCAGAATTTCCTTTGATTGTAGGTGAACTATAAATCCCAGCAATTATAACTCTCAAATGTCAAAGTCTATTTTCCCCAAACTCTACCAGTGTTCACATTTGGGCATATTGAGTATTCGTGCCAAGTTTGGTCCAGATCCATCATTGTTTGAGTCCACAGTGTTCCCTGGATTTAGGTGAACTACAGCTCCAAAACTCAAGGTCAATGCCCAGCAAACCCTTCCAGTATTTTCTGTTGGTCATGGGACTTCTGTGCGCCAAGTTTGGTTCAATTCCATTGTTGATGGAGTTCAGAATACTCTTTGATTGTGGGTGAACTATAAATCCCAGCAACTACAACTCCCAAATGACAAAATAAATACCCCCAAAACCCACCAGTATTCAAATTTGGGTGTATTGGATATTTGTGCCAAATTTAGACCAGTTAATGAAAATACATCCTGCATATCTGATATTTACATTACAATTCAAAGCAGTAGCAAAATGACAGTTATGAAGTAGCAACGAAAATAATGTTATGGCTGGGGGTCACCACAATATGAGGAACAGTATTAAGGGGTCGCGGCATCAGGAAGGTTGAGAAACACTGTCTTAGGAGCTGCTGCAGCCTTGCAAAGCCTGGAGTTTAACAGCCAAAGGCAGGAAAAGCCAGCCTGCAAACTCTTTGCAATGATTGGCCTAGGGAGCAACTCTTTGAGACCGCCCCTGCTCCCGGGGAAAGACCTCCATTTTGGAGTCCTCCCTGCCTGTTCAGTTCTGAAGAAGGAATCTGATGTGCTGGTGGCCAGAAAAGGTAGCTCCGACAAACCACCGCAAAAACAATTGAGTTATAGACAGGAATTGAGAATTGAGATATTATAGTTAGATAAGCTTAATTGAGCTATAGTTAGATAGATTATAAGAGAGTTATAAAGTATAAAGAAAAATAGATATTGAGCTTGGAGAATTGAGTTTTATAGAGTCTTGTAGAGAGAGAGAACTGTGGTGTTGGAGGAAAGGTTCTGAGAGTGCCTTGGACTGCGAGAACATCCAACCAGTCCATCCTCCAGGAAATAAAGCCCGACTGCTCATTGGAGGGAAGGATACTAGAGACAAAGTTGAAGTACTTTGGCCACATTATGAAGAGACAGCAAAGCCTAGAGAAGACAATTATGCTGTGGAAAGTGGAAGATAAAAGGAAGAGGGGCCGACCAAGGGCAAGATGGATGGATGGCATCCTTGAAGTTACTGGACTGACCTTGAAGGAGCTGGGGGTGGTGACGGCCGACAGGGAGCTCTGGTGTGGGCTGGTCCATGAGGTCACGAAGAGTTGGAGACGACTGAACGAATGAACAACAACAACATAGAGAGAGAGACTGCATTGCCTTATCTCCAAGGCTAATTTGGAGCTTAGATAGATAGGGAAAGATTTGTTCTTTCTAAAGGCAACAGCTCTGGATTAGGGTGAAGGATCCCTGGATCCCTTTGCCACTTGGGGAAAGGCTGACTCAGTAACTGGTGAAGAGAAAGAAGAAATATCTATTTGGTTCATCAATTAACTGTTCTTTTGCAACTTTGAGAAATAAATATCCTTTTTGATGTTCAGAACTTGTAATAGACTCAGTTACTGAGAATCTCAATCTTCTCAAGAAAAGCACCGGCAGTTCGCCCAGACATAGGGAACAGCACATCATAGTTTTGTTTTTATAAAAGCATCTGGGTGTAACGGCACAAGTCTTGTCCTTGCATAGGATACTACTCGTACGTGGACTACAATTCCCAGAAACTACCAGTTAGCTTGGATACTGCATACTGTAGCACAATTAATTTTTCCTAGATTTGACTCAGGCCCACACATCCCGCTCGCTGTAAAAAAAAGTATTCAGAAGTTGCGAAAATTCAAGGAGTTCACTAAACTGAGCCTGCAACTAAAGAATTATTTCAATGTAAATGTCTTATTTTTAAGAAGTAATGCAGACAGGTTTCTTTAAGGATCATCTGTGTCTACCAAGAACTCCTGGAGTTGCGAGGCCACCACACGTTCCAGGACTTTGCCCAAATAGGGGAAGTTGATGAATTGAGTGGGGTCCAGTGATGGTTTTTTCAACAGCGGTTTAATAACAGCTTGTTTTAAGCTGGCTGGAATGTTGCCTTCCCGAAGGGAGGCATTAACCACCACCTTTACCCGCTCTGCCAAACCCCCTCTGGCTTCCTTGACCAGCCAGGATGGGCAGGGGTCTAGGATGCATGTGGTAGGCCTCGCCTCCCCAAGAACCCTGATAACATCTTCGAGTTGAACACATCGAAAGGAATCCATCAAAACTGGACAAGCAGATGCCTGAGTTACATCCTCAGAGACTGCCGTTAAAGTGGTGTCAAAGCGACTTTGTCCGCAAAGTACTGAGCAAACGCTTCACAGACAAGCTCATTCTATCTTCCGATAATGAAGTTAAGCATGTGACATTAGTGTCTATAGAATTTTAGAGTCCTTTTCAAAGCATTTTCCCCTTTTGAATGATTTCTCAAAATGGGAGGGGTTTAAAGCAACACAAATAAGTCAAAGACAATAACGTTTACAGTATTAGAGACGAAAATTAGCACTCTTTTCTTTCTATACGACTTGAATAGATACATAAATTTTTAAATGGTAGCTTTGCTTTAGGCCTTTCAAGCTCAAAATAAAAGAGTTTAAAATATCAATGTCAAGCCAATATGTAATTTCCTTGGAATTATTTCACCTTCAACCCTCTCAGTGAAACTGATCAGTCCCTGGATGGGAGGCTACTGGGACCTTCGGCTGCACAGTGCTGAGCATTTCAAAGTAAAAGCTGAATAGACGATTAATAAATAAATCCCTTTTATATAGTGTCCATCAAAGGAATCTTGGAGATTTTACTTAAAATAATGTAATTAAACCAATTAAACCCATGCAGACCGAATAAAGTAAGCCTTGGAAGGCTTAGTAGAGCAATGCAAACGGTTTAGATGTATGTATTGTGGTTCAACAAACAGCTATATGGTCAATCCTTGACCCTGGATAAAAGATATGATATTCAGTATATTAGAAATAAGGAAAAGGTAAATGTTTCCCCTTGACATTAAGTCTAGTCATGTCTGACTCTGGGGGTAGTGCTCATTTTCATTTCTAAGGCAAGGAGCCGGTGTTGTCCATAGACGACTCCTAGGTCATGTGGCCAGCATGACTGCATGGAGCGCCTTCCCACTGAAGTGGTATCTATTGATCTACTGCACTAATAAGAATCTATACTGCAACAGAAATAACATAAGGAAAGAAAAAGCTTGTGCCTGAAGTAATCTGTTAAAGAAAGAAACACATTTTGAAGTTTGAAACCTGTTTAGTGGAAGGAATAGTCCTCTTAAGAGTTGTTTTATGAAATGTTATAAATGTAACCTCTGAAGATATGTGCCTCTAAGAGTTAAGAAACATTGAAACCATCAAGCTTCTTCTATACTTCAATAAACTTGTTACAGTTTCTTCTAAAGCCAAGTCTCTGTTATAAATACTTTCAAGTTAAGCCACGCTACACATTGAAGAAAGACCAATTCAATATTACAAGCCATTAGTTGTGATCACTGCACACCGCACACTGCACTTATTTTATAATCCTATATTCCTCCCGCAATATCAGCACTTTTAATCCTGTACCCACTACTCTGGCCGGCCCAGTTTTAATAATTGTTTTGATGTATTGTTATTGTTACTGTTTACTCTGCTTAACTGTTTTAATTTGCTTTAGGTATTGTATTGTATTGTATTGTTGTATTGTGTTCTGAGGCCTTGGCCTATGTAAGCCGCATCGAGTCCCTCGGGAGATGCTAGCGGGGTACAAATAAAGTTATAATAATAATTATAATAATAATTATTATTATCAATTTAGTAAGTCATTACAACGTGGTGGCTCCTTTACAAACCATTACAAACTGGTGGCATCGTTACAAATTGGTGGCCTCTTTACAACCTGTAACTGTATTTCTTTAAGTGGTCCTTTGTGAATTCACACAAACCTGCCAGTTCTTTTCCTCTTCAAAGCAAACCTCCTCCTTTCTAGCTAAAACTGGGGAGTTAGAACTGGGGAGCCAGTGCACCTTTTATGCCCCGGGAAGGAGTGGGTGGGGTTACCGCCAAAATTCAAAATTGGGAAAAAATTCAGTCTGAGCTTGTGCAGGCAAAGTAAACCGATTGTGTGATTCACAGAGACCACGAAGAAGAAAGACAGTTTGTGAACCCTTACAAACATTACAAAATGTTTTCCAGACAGGTACTCCAAAATCAGGTTTGTATGTGTGATCCAGAGACCACAAAGAAATAAATGTTCCAAGCCCCGGATTCAACTTGGAAATTAAGTATGGAAAGCATGAGTTCTCCCTCTGTGAACTGGAATATTAATGTACAGCTGTCTCCCCAGCAAAGCCGTGAAAAAGAACAAACATTCATGGGAATAAGAGATTTAGAATGTAAGAGAATATGTTAAATATGAGAGAAAAGGTTTTCTAATATTTCATCATTTTAACCCAGAGATACTTGGGTAAAAATGTATGGTCTTACCTTCAATTTCATTCTCTTCCAGGTTGATTGTTTCAAGAGCTTGCAAGGAGGTCAGCTGTTCTGGAAACTGCTGGAATTTGTTCCTAGAAAGGTTGATGAGCTTTAGATGTGACAGCGTTCGGACTTCTTCTGGAAGGCGATGAATGAAATTCCCTTCCAGATTCAGTTCTGCAATTGAACAAGAGAGAAGATTGTAATAACTGACTGATTTGAAAGTTTTCTTGTTAAATCTTATCTTATGTCTGTTGGCAACAAGAAATAAGAAACAAGGATTGTAGAAGAGTTCAGACCAAATAATTGGTGTCTCCTTTATTGGATTACAACCCCCAGTTGTAATCCTATTTCCAGCTAACTTGATGATTTTGAGAGTAGTGGTCCAAAAAGGCAGTCATATTAATAATTTTGTCTATTTATGAATCCAAACTGACAGAGTTGAATCCAAGCTCAAAAATGTATTGTTGAAGGCTTTCATACCCTGAATCACTTGGTTGTTATAGGTTTTTCAGGCTGTATGGCGATGTTCTAGAAGCATTCTCTCCTGACATTTTGTCTGCATCTGTGGCAAGCACCCTCCCAACCTCTGAAGATGCTTGCCACAGATGCAAATGAAAGGTCAGGAGAGAATGCTTCTAAAACATGGCCATACAGCCCGAAAAACCTACAACAACCCTAGCTCAAAAATGTAATCACTGCAATAAAAGCCCTTTCCCATGTATGGTTTATTATGCCTTCAAGTTACGTCTCATTTAGAGACTACAAAGCAAACCTACCATCAGGATTTTTTTTTTCTCATATGTTCAGAAGAGGTTTGCCTTTGTCTTTCTCTGAAGTTGAAACACTGTGATTTCCTAAGGTCAACTAGTGAGGAGTGGAACTCTGGTCTCCAACTTAGTAAACCAATGCTCAAGTCACTATAGCACGCTGGCTCTCCATTACTGAGAACAAATAAAAGAAGTGTTTTTTTCCCAACAAATAGATCTTTTTTGATCTTGCAGATCAAAAAAGGAGACTCTTGCTTCATTAAGCTATAATTGACATCCTTCATCAAAATACACTAAAAGACAGTGTGCAATAATTAAAACTGCAATCCCCAGATAACTAAACACATTATATGAGGGTTGAATGAAAAGTAATGCCTCCACCTTTGTTACTTGGGTTTGGATGGGAATATTTTAATAAATCAAACGCAGAAATAATCCTTAGAATGTGCTCTCTAACTACCACTATTCAATTTTCCACATAATCACCAGACAATTGGATATATTTCTGCCAAAGATGAACAAGTTTTCTGAAGCCGTCACGGAATAAATCAACACCTGGTTTCCACAACCAGCGTCTCACAGTTTTCTCAATGTCTTCATCAGAAGCATAATGGTGTCCCCGCAGAACTTCTTTCATTATTGGGAACAGATGGAAGTCAGACATTGGTAAATCTGGACTGTATGGAGGTTGTCGTATGGTGCTGAGATGCAGTCTCTGAAGTTTCAAGTTTCAATCTGTCAACCATTTGCTCGTGAAACTCAGTGGTTGCTGTCACATAACGTCCAACTCTTTCTTTGCCATGCAAGTCAGATGCATAGATCTTCCAATAGCCAAGCAAAGCAGTAATATGACCCACACATTATTGTGAAATGCTGGTAAAGCTTGAAATTTTTCTCTGAGTGATACGACGATCGTCCTGAATCAATCTGTCAACCTTTTGCTTGTGAAACTCGGTGGTTGCTGTCACAGGACGTCCAACTCTTTGTTAGTCACGCAAGTCAGATGTTCCCACCTCAACATTTTTAAACTTACCAACAACACACAGTACTCACATCAACACAATCACCATAAACAGCTTGCATTCTCTGATGAATCTCCTTTGGGTGACACCCTCTGCTGTCAAGGATTCAGTGACTGCATGTTGCTTAAGTCGCATTGACCGACCATCTGCGCAAGGTTCCATACTTCACACTTTAACAACACAACCATTCAATGCTAAGGCTTCCCGCCAAAATGGAATTGTGGAGGAGAATCTACTGAACAAGCCAGTACCTGCCACATACCAGTACTGTCATCTGTTGAGGAGTTACGAAGGTGGAGGCATTACTTTTCATTCAACCCTCTTAACAATACATTAACCCGAAACCATAGACAGTCCTCCCTTCTTCCTTAAGCCCCAAATCCTGTCTCCATCGGTGCAGAACTCTCTGTGTGTCAACTTCAGACCCTATCAATGCCAGTTCAAGCCCAGTTTGCACACCTCTGACACACCTCTGACACTTGATATATTCTGTTCCTTTACATTCCCTCTTTAGAGTCTCCCTGAGCTGCGATGAGCTACTTTCATGCCGAGTCTGTCTAGCACTTTCGCACTACACAATTATAAGACTATAGTTCCCATTCAGTTGCCACTGCAACTCCATATGGATACCTGGAATATGAAATCTGGTAATTCGCTGAGAGCCAAATATAAATAGCCCTCCCTAAACTAAAAAAATTCCAGGATTCCATAGTGAAAAGATTTAAATCAGAACTTTCCAAACTTTTCATGTTGGTGATACACTTTTTAGACATGCATCATTTCTCAACACAGTAATTCAGTTTTACTAGCAAATCAGAGGCTAAACCAAACCCTTATAAGAGATATGGACATATATGCATACATAAATTATAATTATGAAATATATGGGAACACAACATCTCTCATTAAGTTTCCATCTTTCAATTGCATTGCTTATTTCATATGGACTCAGATGTTTCTTCTTACATTCGCCCGACATGCCTGCACACTGCAACCGACACTCTAACATATCACAACACACAGTTTGGAAAGCTCTCATTTAGAGAATTAAAGTAGAAATATATAACTGAGCATTGTGAAAGGACATTTAACTACACATAATTTCACTTCAAATAACAGCATGCTGAAATCAATGAGTTAATTCAGACATACTACTGATTTCAACAGGCTTTCATGAAGTATGACTGAATACAAGCCTTGGAAGGCCTTAGTCAACTACCTTTTAACATAAATGCCAGCACTTCGAGCTTAGATAAACAGCCGGTGACCTAAATGTAATATCCTCTCGGTATAGCAGATCTACCCTACATTAAGCTATATAACCTCTCCCTGACTTATCCTAAAGCCATCTCACATGGTAATTTCATGCTTCATAGCAAGGAAGTGGGATCAGTGAAGCATTTGGCAACATCCCCATAGCCAGGCATGCAATGTTTACATCAGTGTTGGGTTGCCTGTAGTACTCTTGCAGATCTCAATGCTAATATCATCATTTTCCATCTGGCTATGGTAATATTGCCAGATGCATCATATAGAATTATAGAATCATTGAGTTGGAAGAGACCTCATGGGCCATATAATCCAACCCCCTACCAAGAAGCAGGAAAATTGCATTCAAAGCACCCCCGAAAGGTGGCCATCCAGCCTCCAAAGAAGGAGCCTCCACCACACTCTGGGGCAGAGAGTTCCACTGCTGAACACCTCTCACAGCCAGGAAGTTCTTCCTAATGTCCTTTCCTGTAGTTTGAAGCCATTGTTCCGCGTCCTAGTCTCCAGGGCAGCAGAAAACATGCTTGCTCCCTCCTCCCTATGACTTCTTCTCACATATTTATACATGGCTATCATGTCTCCTCTCAGCCTTCTCTTTTTTAAGCTAAACATGCCCAGCTCTTTAAGCCGCTCCTCATAGGGCTTGTTCTCCAGACCCTTGATCATTTTAGTTGCCCTCCTCTGGACACATTCCAGCTTGTCAACATCTCCCTTCAATTGTGCTGCCCAGAATTGGACACAGTATTCCAGGTGTGGTCTAACCAAGGCAGAATAGAGGGGTAGCATGACTTCCCTGGATCTAGATACTATATTCCTATTGATGCAGGCCAAAATCCCAATTCTGGCTGTTTGTTGTGAAGCATGACAATGCATGATGACTGAAGGTGCTTTACAGTACTTTTTTTCAGGCGGGGGGGGCGGGGGGGGGGGTACTACAGAGGAAGGGTGGAAATACCACCCGCAGCACCCAAAAAAAATCTACTATATTTCATTTATTCTAAGAACTATTGATTCTGAGATGCACACTAATTTCAGTACCACCAACAGCAAAAAAAAGCTTTAATTATATATATTTTTAAAGCACCGGTGATTCTAAGGCACACCCCATTTTCAAGATAATTATATGGAAAAAGTGCATCACAGAATCGATGAAATACAATATATGCAAAGGGACACTTACACATGGCTATATCCCTAAGAGATTTCTGGTCTGCGAAGCTTTTCTTAGGATTGGTGAGGTGTGAAGTGAATAAGCTGCCAGAGTCAAAATTCTGGCAATTGTGTGATTGCATTAGCTGCTCTTGCCCAACCAACTTCAAAGGCAGATTTAATCCCTAAATATGGAACTCAATTATGAATGGGCTCACTCTAAAAATATGCTAATAATTTCCAGCAACCATGGAAAAAATATCTGACAAAAGCTTGCATATTATATTGTTGAGTTACAATAAAGTATCATCTTTGCAGTTTTCCCCCATATTGAATCTCAACTTTCCCTTTTCTCAATGACTACTGCATAGGGAACCGAAGGCATGTTAAAATGAATGTCTAGAATTATTAATGTTCAGATATTCAGCCGGGAGTTCTTAGAAAGTTCTCATTTCCAAAAAAAAATTAAGGAAACATTCTTGATAGTTTGGAAAGGTATTTTGAGTCTTCATTCAATATTCTTTCTAATGAGAAGTCTACAGGAATCTCTATCGGCCAATTTCAAAAAGAGACATGCTGACTAAAAGCATTTATTACTAAGACAGTGCTTTGAAGAAGATTACCAAAGCTGTCCATCTGTGACTGTCCACTGCATGCCAAGCATCACATTTCTACACAGTAGATCTTCAAGAGGAGGCATTGCAATGCTGATTAAAAGAAAAAGGAAGTGAATGTAGAATGTAGAATCAAGGGAACTCAAAGGTGGCAAAGCAGAAAAGATCTCAGCTGTTATGAACTTTTTAATATGGACAGATATCACCATTATTCTTGTTTGTTTTCTTCTCATTATAGTTTGTGCAGCCTACACACCAACTCTCCTCGGCAGCAGCTACACCTCACTGCCCCCTCCCACCAGCTGCCAGCAAGGAGGAGGTGAAAAGGAGGGCAGGAGACTTCAGCTCCTCCA